TCCAATTGATTTGGTTTTGGTTAAAACCAAAAAACCAAAACCAAATGGACAGCCCTAGTCTCACGTATGGGGCTTGTACTTGGGCCTCAAGTTACTTGTAGTAGTGTCGGATTTATAGTTAGGAATGTCAATTAGGGATGGCAATGGGCGGCGGGTTTGACTAAACCATCCCCATCCCCATTTTCAAGTATCCAAACCCATACCCGCCCCATACCCATGGAGACGAATGTATAGCAAACCCATCCCCATACCCTTGGGTTTCGGGTACCCATGGGTAATACCCATACCCGTACATCCAACATTATTATCCTAAAATTTACATGAAAAGTTTTAGCTACAACTCTAAACGTACCTATTATATCACGAATTCAACAAAACGCGATCATTTTCTTAATACGGTTCAAAGAACATGATCCTAAAACATTCATTAATACATAATATAGAGTATAATATTTTTCAAATTATTATGTTATAACTCTGATACATCTACTAAGTAATAATTAACTAACATAATCTTGTTGACAAGGGGGAAAGTGAAAGAGTGAAAGGAGAATTGAGAGAAACGAATTAGGTTTTTATTAAGGTGGTCACTCAATTGCATTTCTACTATTTATTTCCTCGAGTTATCCTCATCACCATTGATAGATTACAATTTTATCCATATATTTTTGTATATGTGAAGAAATTCTCTTGGTGGGGCGGATATGAGTATGGGTATGGGGCGGGGAGGCTAAAACCATACCCGCCCCCAGGGGCGGACCCAGGGAGGTTTAGGGGTGTCCCCGGACACCCCTAAATTTTGGGAAAACGATTATCCAACCCCCGGTGGTAATTTACGTATGGACAAAAAAATATAATTGATAGTGAGGGACACCCCTTAAATTTGAAAAAATGATTATCCTACTGTCATTTGTGTATAGGAATATAAGTGGTAGGTTGGAAAATTCAAATGTAGAACACTATTATTATTAATAAACTTAATTTCTGTTGAGCTAAGCTAATTTGTTGTTCGATTTTGAACAATGTGTAATAGTAAAATGACATTCCCTATCTCTAATTATTTTAAAAACCTAACAATTAAACTAATTTCAAACTACCATTAATTTGTATTGATTTTATGATTGTACGACAAGTGTTGAAATAGTCTTTCAGTTTTGGGTTACACCAAGAACAAGTTTACAAATCGAATATGCGATAAGTTCGTGAATGATTGTCTAGCTAGCAGTGTATATAGAGACAATTTTTTTAACACTATAGACACCAAGTGTATTCTACAATTATTTCCGAATATGAAAACATATCATGGATTTTTTTAACCTAACGAGTAAGGTATTTTCATATTTACAATTTTATTTTTATCAATTATTTTTATTTAATTTATTTTTTAAAAGAGGACACCCCTATGAAAAATTTCTGGGTCCGCCACTGCCCGCCCCATACCCATCAAACTTTTTGCGGGTTTTACCCATACCCGCCCCATACCCGGTCAAAGCGGGGATTACCCGCGTTGACTGGGTCGGGGCGGTCGGGTACCCGCGGCCATGGGTTTGATTGCCATCCCTAATGGCAATGGGCAGGTCCGGGGCGGGTTTCTTGGTACCCAGACCCGCCCCGTGACAGGTCGGGTCCAGGCCGGGTAATTTATTACGGGTCGTGGGTCGGAGTAGGTCGACCCAATGGGTATGCAATTTATATGAAAAACACTAGAAATATGCGTTCTTTTAATTATAAGACCAAGGAAACAAACAATATTATGATAAATTTAGTTAAATTATTGGATAAATTGAGGTTTTGTCTAATTTAAAACTTTATTATAACTAAAATATGATGTAATAAAAGGAAAATCCTAAGTAGTTTGACTAAACTTACATGTAATTTAGACAAGAACGGGTCGAGAATGGGGCAGGTCAGGGCAGGTCGGGTCGATGAGAGTACCCATGCCCGCCCCGCCCCGCCTGCGAGGTGGGTCCGACCCGCCCCAAAACAGGCCAAACAGGTCGGGTAAAACGGGTCAGGTCGAAATTGCCATCCCTATTTATAGTCCTTTTACATTTGAAACTTGGAGAATGTTTTCTTTTCCGTGTTGGATAGGACTAGTGGTTACGAGTTTTTGGCCAATATAAATATGTATGTGTGCAGATTGTACGAACACAAGATAATAAGAGTTTTTACCGCTTCGATCATGGACTATTAATACGCCTCTGGGGTTTTGTATTTTTATCAAAGTCACGCAGCAAACAATCAATCCGAAGATTGATTGAACTCGAATCAAGAACAACGCGTTCTTAATACGAAATTTGGATAAAACATAACCAACGGACAATTCCACACCTGGGGAAAGCTCGTATGGTATAAAATGGTAGTTGCTCGAGCACGATTGAAGAGGATATTCAATCGATACAAAGCTCACAAGCTTGGAATCCACCAAACTCAAACAAGTCGCAACTTGCACAAAACCAAAGGGTTTGTTTTTCGATTAATCAAAGTCTTCTATTTTTACAACGTAAATAAAACGATATTTAAAGGCAAATAAAACCTAATACAATCCTAATAAAACTAGGCAACAATTAAGGTAAAAGTCTACACTAAAAAGGACACAAAATTCGGGTTTAAACTCCCTTTCTTGAAGCACAAGTAAGCTGTCCGCAAAACAGTCAAAAGGCAGCTTTCGTACTAACTTCGTGCCTTTTGTTCGAGGCCTTCCAGAACTCCAATCCTTCATCCAATTCCTTCCCTCTGTACATAAACATACCTAGTTTCATTTTGTGGAAGCCTTTGGACTTGAATCAGATCCATACTCCTCAAATTGAGCTCCAAAGTAGGCTTCACAAAATAGTTTTCCGCCTTGGCCATTTTCTGGCAGTTTTCCAGTTTTGTGGTAGCAACTTTGAGACCTAGGAAAACAACCTTAATGGCATCATGTGGATCCAAAAAGCATACCATTGGAAACATGGCAAATTTATCTGCAAAACAAACCATTGATCTCCAATTTCCATTGAGCCATTCGTGAGATACAAGCTTCCAAAGTAGGCTACCTGAAACTGTTTCAACACTTAGCCAAAAATCAGAATGCTTCAAGTTAATTGAGATGACTTCTTTGGCAAGTAATTGTGAATTGTGGATTGATCCAATTGGGATCATATCAGACTAGTCTCGTTCATTCTGAACGAGTAAACCACATAAATTCCGTGTCATTTTCTTCTATGTTTCGTAAACTTAACATGGTTCGATGGAGTTCGAACACATCACGGCTCTTCCCAACTCGAACAAATTTCCTCTCAGGAAGTTTCAGTTCCGCTCTTTTGTGAAGGCCATTGTTTCACTGGTTTGCTCGATGGCTCTTTGAAAAGGTCTACCGTTCCACCTGCACCAGAGTAGGATCTATCTAAGTTGATACAAAATGATGCTCATATCCATTTCTGGATAATGGAATCCGTTGATTCTTCGAGTGTCTTAGGATTCTGAATGTTGCCGACGCCAACAGCTATGTGGAAGTCTTTGTCTGCATATTTTCTACAACGAGTCACGTCAGTTTTGAGCGCAAATTAAAACTTGCTAATCTTCACCCAGGTAACCTGGATGTAGCCTCCTCCATCAATGCATCTCGACTTTTATGGATAGATCAAGATCTTTTGTTGGAAACTCTCTTGATTGTCCCCATATCCGAAGAAATCTAAGTCGAGAAGAATAAAATCCAGCTTCTTCAATATCTGTCCAAACTTAGGTTAGAGTATGAAGTTGTACACTCCAATCTCCTTAATGGCGAACAACTAACAGTCGAGGGAGCCTTTGGTTAATTGTTCATGAAGATACCCAATTGATGCTTGCCTTGCTTTCAAATTTGGAGAAAGTGAACATTTTGCATTTTTTCATCTCCAACCCACCTTCAATTTTGCTTCCAAATTTGGAGAATGGAGTGTTGGGGTGGATAGATAGAAGCCTCCATGGAGCAAAGGGGCAAAAATAGCAGCTGGAAGGGGGACCCCGCGTGCAGGCGAGGGCCACCCGCGGAGGCGCGCCTGGGGCTTAGTTTGTGTGGGTATGTTTGCGTTTTAGTTTGTGTGGGTGTGTTTGCGTTTTAGTTTGAAAGAAGTAATATAGTGACAATAAAACGGTCACATTGCAACAGACACATTTTAACGGCCATAAAAAATGACTAATTTTGCAAAAAAAAAAAATCTCGGAATTAAAAAAAAATTACATCGAAAATTTTGTTTTCACAAGTAATAACAAACTATAAAAAAATTAAAGTGAATTACAAGAATGATATTGTAAATAAGTATGGATTATGGAAATTAAATCAAAAAAAGATGTGGGAAGCTAAATTTGGAAGCTTTTAGGGTTGGAGAAAAAAGGTGTTTTGGGGAGGCAAATATGCACATTTGAGAGCTTGGGAGGCTAAATATAGCTTTTGGGGTTGGAGTTAGTCTAATTGGTATATAAAAGCCTTGGTTGCCACTACTGTTCATTAGTGGCCCCCAGTTTCCTCCTAAGCGACTGGGCAACTTGCAAATGTTTACCCTTCATTTGCCCATGTGTCCTCAATTCCCTCTCACACCAGCTTCCACTAATTCCTATTACCCCACTCGCGTTGATGGACCTTTGGGTATGTCCATTCTTTGTTGGCTACCCCAGAGAGAATATGCAGTGTCCATTGGCTTTTGCATCTCCTAATTTCCACACGCAACCTCTGCTTTCTTCACTCTGCTTCATCTTTCCCCTTCTTCCTTGGAAACGCCATTCCATCTACCATGCCCATACACTTCCTCCACTCTGCTCTATCTAAGCCCCACTTTCTCTTCTGTTCCCTCTTCTCGCCGTTCCACCCAGCACCGGAATCTGCTCTCGGCGGAATCCCAAACTCGCAGGCATGACGAGGAGGAAATTTCGCAGGCATGATGGGGAAGAAGCGGGCTAACTTGTGGGTTTGAGCGGGCGGAGGTTCGGATTATGCTGGCAGCGCTGCGATTAGGGCCGGGATGGTATGAATGCCGCCGCAAATGGGTGCGACGAGCGAAGCGGAAGTCCAAAGCGATCTAGGGCAGGGAGGGGAGCTCTGGTTTGCCTTTTTGCTGTACAAGGTTGGTGTTTCAGATCTGGAGATCAGGTGGGCAAGGTCGTGAATCAATCAGTGCGGTGACGTACCAGTTTAATCTCAGGTACCCGCTTCCTCCTCTGCATTTTGCCTGCTGAATCCCACACCTGAACCTCCTCGCTTAATCTAAGGTAACCCTCTGGTTACAACAAGGTTTTTATTTAGTCTCATTGTCTCTTTTTTGTGGTGCGATTTCTGTGATTTTAACGTCAATTAGCGGCTGCTCTAGATGGTTTCATTTTTTTTTCAAATAGGTGAGCAGGACTGATTTGCAGTTGCAGGCATGAGGAGAATTATCTGGTTTGTTCATGTGCCGCCTTTTCCCCTTACCGAAGGTACTGTTTCCTCCCACAAAACCCTACTTCTTGACCTCTTCTTCTCTACATTTACCCTTCTGCAGCATTGAATGTTGGGGTTAATTATGCTGTGATGCCTATGCACTCCTGACGTGTACACTTATTTCTCTAAAATGGTTGTCTAACTTTGGTGGTTGTTCTTTATAATTGGTCTACCTTTTGACAACTATAGAAACCAAAGTTGAATGACTAGAAGCCTAGCACCACTGGCTCTACTGAAAATCCCATCTCACTCTTCTTTTCTTTATTTTTATTGTGTTATTGAACTTGCTGATTCTTCTTTGTTATGTGGGGTTTTGGGGCCAACCAGCAAGCGGAGATTTCGATTACAATAACAAAGAAGATCCTGCCTAGAAGGTATGCAAAGGCGTATGCGAGGCAGCGTGGCAATGCTTAGACATATGTGGATGTGTTGCTGATCGATGATGGTTCAGTCCCTGGTTCCAATGGGATATTCCAGAGAATTTAGACAATAGGCTGAGGTAGGTAGTAGCTCTTTGTTGTATTCACAGAGCAACTTTTGCTGAAATTAGTATAGATTAAACATATATGATATATCGTGACATATTGTTGTTTGGAACAGAATGTTGAGTAATTTTATTACATTTAGGGTCATGGTGATTTGAAAGTAATCGTCTCATAATCAGGACAGTCACATTCTGATAAGTTTTGTGTGCTAGCTACCTAGCTGCCTCATGAATATTGTTCTTTACTTTTCCATTATAGGCCTAGAGAAGTACCAATTCCTGTCCAGTTTGTTAGATGTGAAATTTTGTATGTTCCAGTTCATAAGAGGAGCAAGTTGTTCTAATTGCATATGCATTAGCCAATGAAATGAAGTATGTGATTGAAGATTGGGTAGTTCTGTTAGTTCTAAACATTCATTCCTTGGCTTTCTTAATGGAATTGGATAGTAGCAATTAGTAAAGAAATTTGTCATTTAGAAGAGTAAGTCAGAGCCATGCATTCAAGCATGATTGTTGTGTTGCTTATCTTTGTTTAAATCTGGTTATATATATAATATATGGGAGAGGAGTTCATTGATTTTCCTTTCTCACGTAACATAGATCAGATTTCCTGGCTGAACTGTGACGATTTGGAAACGCTGCAGGAAAAACAATTAATGAGCTTGGTGTGAAAACTGGCAAATTTGTTGTCTCTATTCCATATTGGGCGATAATCGATTATATTATTTTCTTTTGGGTGGCAGAATCAGCTGGTATTAAGCAAGGTGAATTGTTGAATTCTGCCTTTTTTACAGGTACTGTTGGGTACAGATTTGCCAACTTCTGCAGCTGGTATTGGCAACCCTGATGTCGATTTTGTGTTGGGCACTGAGAAGAAACTGCTCGAGGTATGCAACAAATTGAAAATCCCCCCGGGCTGATCACACATATTTTCAATTGACTCATGTAGTATGTGAAATATCGTGTCCTTGATTAGCAGCTTAGCATCATTCTTGCCCAATTAATGGAAAGGGATGTTGTTCATACTTTAGAAGTTGATTGAAACTAACAGACTATTTCCTCATATGTAGGAAGAACTGAACAGTTGTAGTTAGGAAATATGAACTTGATAGAAGGAATTTTACTTCTTTGAACTGAATAAGAAGAGAGCAAGGGTCCCAATGAGTCAGGTGACTTTGAGAGCCGAAATCTGTTTTATGTTTGATAATCATGAAATAACTTAGTGTTTGTGGCTACTTTGCAAATTGATATCTTTAAAAAATCATCAAATTGGGATTTTGGTTAAATGGAAATTGAAACGTACCAGCTCACACGAAAAAGTATATCAGTTACTTAAGTAGCCTTTTCATGCAAATTCTTGGTTTTGTTCTCACTGATTTTGCTTATAGAGTATTTGGAACAAAATGGTAATGTTTTTTTTTCTTCTTCTATTTAATGGATGTGGTGCATATACATGTAGGTGAATGTGATGCTTTACTCTGATGAACCGAGACCTGGAGTAACGCTATTGTAGCTGCTGGGGAGAATACTTGATCGCCAGCAGCAAACCTGCAAAGCAAATATGCGCTTTTTCCAAATCTCCAGGTTAGATATTGTTCTCTGTGAACTTAATCGTTTTCCTTTGACTTAGTGGCTCTCCTTTAGTGCGGCTGAATAGTTTCAGAATTCAGATTATGTGCTATGTGCTTACATTATTGAATGAATTAGATTTATGGTTAAAGGGAGTTCAATAGTCTATTCCCTTTGCTTTTGATATAATTTACTGCGTATTTTAGTGACAGTTACCTTAGGATCATGGATGGGAGGATGTACGGTTCGTGCAGGTTATGTGGACCCTCAAATTCATGTTTGGTAGGTTTTAGCTCCCCGTTTAAGATCTACCCGCCATACAACTTTTTTTTTAATGGGAAGACACAAAATCTGTGTGAATGGTTTTATTTTGTAATGTCATTCACATATATAGATGTATGGATTCAACGGTGTTTGAGTCATTGACGTTGTGTGAATCATAGGAGGATGTACTGGGAGTGCCTGATTTAATTCGAACAACAATTGGTTGCAATTCTAATATGGAATGCTGTTATTACGGTCAACAGCTTGCAGCTAGCCTGAGTTTACAGCAAGTAAAAACACTTGCCTGGCATATCTTTCACAGTTAGTTCGATCTTAATTAAAATGGCTCTTTGAATCACAATTTGGGATTAATTGATTCTTATGAGGATTTGCTGGGGTTTTTATGTTGGTTTTCAAGAAAGATTTGCCATTTGTTTATCCATGGTTATAACTGAAACGAGTGAGAAGCACATGTCCATCCGATAGGAGTGGATGTGCAAGCAGGACTCAACCTTTGGAAGCTAATCAAGACCTTTTGTATTCACATTGTCGACGCATTTACATGGAATTGATTTAGAACCAATATTATCAACCTGGGCCGTAAATGTCGTTTCCTTTTGATATTCCTCAGAGGTCTACATTACGTTATGTATTTGATTGTTGGGTTAACATTTAATTCAGGGATGATTGGTGTTATAATTTGCAGAGCGGAATAGAATCAATCCCTTGGTCAAAGAGCGTGGGAAAACTACTGATCCTAAAGCAGACAGTAAGCGAATATATCTTCCCAATTGTTTCCAAATGTCACAGTGGTCGGGTTTTTCCCCCGAGGGATGAACGGTCAAGAGACTGGGAGGAGTAGGGACTTGCTTTCTTGAATCTGTTCCTTGATGTTCAATTTTTTCACTAATGGTTTGCTTTTACACTCTTCTGGTGGCCTAATTCGTTTAACATAGTGGTGTTAGGAGCATGTAATCACTTTTCGTTCAGGTAATTCTTAAGTTTAGAAATTTAAATTTTGGGTCTCCCCAAAATTGAAAGAATGATGGCTATGTTGAAACTTGAAATCGCCTATCACCGAGGAGATCTCCTTTGTGGTTTCTTGGAATCAATAATAATTGATTGAGGATGTATAAGCTTGCAAAGGGGTCTTCGAATGGGTGCTGGGTCAGTGATCAATTGGTATTTCTTGGCTCCAAAACTGTCCAATACTCATTTCATTTTTTTCAATTTATGTTCTTGACAAGTTCATTTCCCAACTCATAATCATTTTGTTATGGTGCATCCAGGTAAATATCATCCTTTCTGACCAAACTTTGGGTGCCTCTTCCACCTTGCTTCTTGCAGACTATGCTGGTGGTAGTTGTTTAGAGAGCTTGCTACGTTTATTTTCTCGCGAAGCGTAGCGAGCGGGTCTTTTCTAGTATTTTTTATAACACAGCTAGGAACAACTCTACGGGCATATGGATTCAAGAGACTCGTTTTGCTTGTCTAGCTCTAGCTAAAGGGGGCTCTACAACAAACATTCAGCTACTAATTAGGCATATGTTGCATACCAACCTCCTGCTAAATGTCGTGTTGTTGAATGTCATCATTTTCATACTAAGGCCACACGCAAAATGGATTCTTGATTTTGCTTACTTTAATCATACGACGAATAATGTCGCGAATATTTCTAATATTCTCCCAAAATCACAAGATTATCGTTGCAAGTAGTTATGGGAACAAGTTGAATGGGATTGGGTCAGTAAAAACCATCGAGTTAACCTTACATGTGCAAAGCCTAGTTCCCAGTTTAGTATTGGTTGGCCAGTTAACTGAACAAGGTTATCGTGTTGTTTTTGCATCCTCTGGTTGTGATGTTCAGGATCTGAAGACCGGGCATGAGAACAATCGAGAGAGTAAACACAAACGTATTTTTCATCTTGATCATCTCAAGTAATGCCATCAACATCATTGTTTTCATTCTCGTGCCCATCAGTTCAATCTTTGGTGTCTATGGTATCTTGTTCTTTTGTTCCTGTTTTTTCGAGTTTGGATGATCAAACTATTAAATTGTGGCATTCCAAGATTGGTCTTAGTAGACTTGTAGAATTTGTATGGAAAAAATAAGTTGGACAAACTTCTGATTTTTAGTGCACAAGTTGTGTGGAAGCAAAGACGACTCACATATCCTTTCACTCGAGTTAGACTGTTATTATGGAACCCTTCCATCTTATTCATACAGACCTCTAGGATCCTAGTCCAATTACTTCTCGACATGGCTATAAGTATTTTTGTTGTTTGTTGATCATGCTACTAGATATAGTTGCGTGTACTTTTTGCTCCATAAATCTGACTTGTTAACCATTGCTATTGAATTTATAAGTATAATTAAGACTTAGTTTGATAAGCAGGGTTACCGGGATATGTACGCATTTTCTTCCAATCACCCTTTGTTGACCGTTGCCTCAATGATGTGGCTGAGGCGCTCTATACAATGGTGAAAATGTATGTTGACAATTGGCTACCCTGACGAAGGCCTCTTTTGGGTGAAAAACTCTCGGGGAAAAAATCTCAAATTACACACGTTATTAAAAAAAATTCTCAAAATACATACGTTATAAAAAATATTCCCAATCTACACATGTTTGGGCTTCACCGTGGTCGTCAACCGCAGTGAATAACATCACCGCGTCCGTCAAAAACGGTGAACGCTTCACTGTCACGGTCGAAAGCGGTGAATTCTTTCTGGCTATTCACCGTTGATGTCCAAAGCGGTGATGGCCTAATTGGGTTAATTAATTGTTGGCCCAAAAGCACAGCCTCCGGCGTCGCAACAGGACTGTCGACTATCGGTGGAGCAGCGGCGGCAGGACCCAGCGCAGGTGCAATCTCTAGAGCCGTGGTGGGAGTGGCAGAAATTGGTGTAGGCGGTGACGCGGCGGGGGAGAAAACTCTTGGAGAAAGACTAGGCGCGACTGTCGGTGGGGGGACAGAACGGAACCCATCGGAGAAGGGATGGAGGATGATGTTGGAGTCGGCGGCATAGCCGTAGAGGGTTCCGGCGGGGTAGCCGATATGGACGATTACCTACACACGCGACCACCAACTTGCGACTTGCGAGGCCAAATATTAGGTGAATCAATTCAATCCTTTGAGTTTCTTCTCTGTTTTGCTTTTGGTGGGACTTTGAGCTTCTTGTTCGATGAATGATTCGTTGCATGTGTTCATAATCAAATTCTATCTATTCTCCAAAAAGAGAACAACTTTCCACAAGAAAACCCTACCGATCATCGAAGTGAAAATAAGGTGATTGTCCTCGTACATACGAAGTGGGTGTTTGGTGTTCGATCACCATCGACCATCGTCAGTAACTTTTTTCTTTTTTTTTCTTTTCTTGTTTCGGATCCTGGTCAGGTCACCATCAATCAAAATATTAACTTTAGAGAAATTAGGGTGAAAAGGAGAGCCCTTCCTCACCACTTTAATTTTCACACTATTGATCAGTGCATGCGATGACAGGTGTAGTAAGCGCAGGGCTGTTGCTGTGTATGATCTCAAACTCACCACTCACCACTACCACCGATAGTCGACAGTCCTGTTGCGACGCCGGAGGCTGTGCTTTTGGGCCAACAATTTAATTAAGCCCAATTAGGCCATCACCGCTTTGAACACAAGCGGTGAATGGCTAGGGAGAATTCACCGCTTCCGACCGTGACAATGAAGCGTTCACCGCTTTTGACGGTCGCGGTGATGTTATTCACTACGGTTGACGGCCGCGGTGAAGTCAAAACATATGTAGATTGGGAATAATTTTTATAACATATGTATTTTGAGAATTTTTTTTAATAACGTGTGTAGTTTGAGATTTTTTCCAAACTCTCGGTACAGTTATCATTCCAGAGCACTTGCATCGAGACAGTGGATTTACAGTGCAAGATGTATGAGGCATGTGAGATGGAAAAACCTAACGCCTCACAAACAACCAACTAATGTGTCGTAGGCCTTTTCCAAACCTAGTTTTATAACCATTTGACCCTTCTTTCTTTCTTTAGGCGCACAAATGCACTATCTCTTACAGGATGATAATGTATTCTCTTATTACCAGATAACTGACATAATTCCCTCTACATTGTGACATTAAGTTTTAGAACTTATTTAAGGGTGTTAGGGTACCCGCAGTTAATTTACTTCCTTTTGTTTAGTTTGTTTTTCTTTTTTGTCTTATTTTAATCACAAATTGTTATATTTGGGGTACGAAGGTGCCATTAATATCACTAATTCCATCTTTTAGTTTTGTAGTTAAAGTAGACTTCACTTTTCCTAATTTTAGAGAACCGTCGTTGATTGTGAGTGTTTTGCACTTACAAAAAGTGAATAATACCGTTGGTAGTGTATTTTTTTATAAGATCAACTTTGCCTCAAAAGTGATAATTAATCTCTTGTGATAGAGATTTCTAGCATCATAGTCGTGCTTTTTTGGTTGGTCATTTTGCAGGTGCTCATATGATATGATAGTAATGAAGTAAGTGAGATAAGTTTCATCAATCTATCAGGTGATAGTATGATTTTATTTTCTGTTACAAATTTATGAGAGTAATTAAGAATGCTTTGTCTAAGATTGCTAATGTCTTTTGCTTTTCTTTGTTGGTATATCGATACTGGTCATCCAACATACTCCGTCGAAGGAAACTACACTCACTGGCGGGACTATCTTGGAGATGTTGAGTTTTTGCTTTTTGTATTTTCCCCGTTAGTGTCATGTCTTTGCTCCTCGGAGCTTCTTTAGAGTTGTCCAAGTAGTGGCTTATCAGGCTCTTTCATCTTAGTCTGGTTGCATACAGACTAACGTGTTGGTTTTAAGTTGGTCTTGTATTCGTGTCGAGTCTTTGTCCATTGCCCTTTGAGCTTGCCTTGGGAAAAAAATTGAAGTTTAAGCATCCACATCACATCAGCTTTAGGAGGGTTCAAACTCACAATTTGTTGATAATACACTAGAGGTGACAACTTCCATCCAATCCAATCCAACCCAACCCAATCCAATCCATCCACTTAAATATACAACTAATTCAATTCATTTGATCCAAATTCAATTAGATTGGATTCATGAATTGTTTATAAATTATATTTTAGTACCGGTACATTTTTATATTTTATATTTTGGTACCTAAATTTTATATGAAAATATCATTGAAAAATTATATTTTGGTACCTACAATTTTTCATTATGGCATTTTAGCAGCTAAACTTTTCACAATTTACATATTAGTCCAAGACTAGGCTTTCATTTGGATTCATAGATCAATCCACCAATCCATTTGATCCATGGATCCTCCAATCCAATCCACCAATCCATGGATCCAATCCATTTTCCATCTCTACTACACTATATATTTTGTTAATGCAATTTAGATTTTAGACAAATTTTATTTGACGAAACTAATCACAAATCTAATTTGGTAAAGGTCATTGATTACAATGTGGTTTTGACAAGAGAAGATTGGAGTGTGATTCCAATGTGCAAAGGAAGAAGGTTTGGCGGCCTTGACAGAAGAAGAACAAGAGAGGCAAGCTGGTGAATAAGCAAAATAGAAGATGTTTATGGTTGGGTCTCAGAGCAGGTTCGTAAAGATGGCATTTGATAAAGGACAAGCTAATGGAATTGATAGCATTGGGAGTCATATGGTGCTCAACTGCTCATTGCTCAAGCAAAGAACAACCCGATCATTCAACGTGAGACAGCGGATATACAGTGCAAGATGTATGAGGCATGTGAGATGGAAAAACCTGCCGCCTCACAAACAACCAACTAATGTGTCTTAGTCATATGCCTTTTCCAAACCTAGCTTTATATCCATTTGACCCTTCTTTCTTTCTTTAGGCACACAAATGCACTATCTCTTACAAGATGATAATGTTTCTCGTGATATGTCGTTGGGACACATAACTTGTTTGATAATTGTGACTATTTGATATAAATAAAAAACAAACTCAGCAATTCAAGATATATATTCTCTCTTTTTAGCAAATAATTGACATTCTTGTTTATTAAAGATTTAAAGTTTTTAGTCTCGAATATTAATACAAATTAAAATTATTTGAATTAATAAATTTATATCCTCCGAATTCCACTAGCCTTAAAATAATCTTGGAGAGGAGAGCTTGAGGCCGCCGCCGATTCGATCGGGAGAAGGCTAGTGCGGTGGAGTGAGCGCAGCGGCGGTGATGAGAAAAGCGATCGGGAGGAGAGCTTGAGGCCGCCATCGATTCAATCGATCTGGAGAAGGCTTGTGCGGCGGACTGAGCGGTGGATTGAGCGCAGCGGCGGTGAGGAGAAAAGCGGCCAGGAGAAAAGGACCACATCTCTCTCCTCTCCTTCATTATGTTTCTGGCTTTGTAGTTAGGTCCTTGTTGGTACCAAATCACTTAGCTTCCTCAATCTTGA